CCTTTAATAATATGCCTAAAATATAAAAATATGCCTAAAATATATAAAAAAATATGCCTTCTCTCTTTCAATTTCAATGACACCATCAAGTTGTTTGTTAATTGCTCTTAGATCTTTAACTTGTGAAAATTTCCCTAAATTGATTACGGCCCAACCACGTTGATTCCTGATTTTACACCATTCAACTGCTTCCTTAAATTGCTTATTTTTCATCTTTATGAAACTCTTAAAACATTGCTTCTTGACTTGTTGGCTTAAAGGAGAGCCCCCCCCCCCCCTCCTTAATGGAAGTATTAAACATTTTGAACTAAATCATAAATAGAAAACATTAAAATAACATGAATAAACAACATCCTTGAAAAAAAAATACAAAATGGTCCTTGGTTGCCATAGAAACCACGAAAACACATGAAAATGGGCAAAAAATGCATTTACGCCGGCCATAAAAACCAAATAACCGTGCAAGATCTGTTCATAACCTTTTACCAAATGCTTCACTAAAGGTCAAAGGGTGTTTTAATAGAGGGATTTTCCTGTAACTAAAAGTCTGAGCGCTGGGTGCACATTTAAAGATGGCAAAAATATTTTTAATTCAAAATATTCAAAATAACAAAATCTAAAACTCAGATTAAAAAACTGTTCCATTAAAACATAGCTTATAATGAGAGAAACAGCTCCTGATAATTTCATCAAAATTGGTAAAACGGTTATTGGCCGGCATGCAAAAAAAGACTAATTTGAGAAGACGCGAAATGAAAAATAAAATTAGCAATTATAACTTTAAAACAGGTTTAAAATAAGTTTGGGTCAAAAAAATACTATATTTAAAAAATCTAAGAAAAAGTAAAAAAAATCTCCTGCTTTATACAACTTCCCTTCTTTTATCGTACTTATTATGTTTTTTTTGCCACAAATAATTTTTTTGTCGCAACATGTTTTTATTAGCATTTCTGTATTTGGCACGTATTTGGCATTTTCCACAATGCCTAGTAAGAGCTATTCTATAGTTCAAGTTTTTACAACCTTTAAAAGTATATACTTCTGAAATCATCGTCAGAGATTCATTGACTAAAATGAAGGCTTTTCTACCTAAATTAAAATTGGCCAATACATCATACATTCCAAATTCTAATTGATTAAATTATTTAAAATTTGTTTTAGGTAAGCACTCCTAGATTGAGCTTTAAAACCTTTGTTAGCATTTTGTGTCTTACCATGTAAGCAATTATCCAACTGTTTGTCAGCACTGAATTCCTCAAAGATTGGTTTGATTTTATAAACAATATCTATTGGTAAACTTGGTCCAGGTTTAAAAGTATTTGTGCCATTGGCTTTATCTGAACTATTTTTGCACCAACTCTTAGCTCTTACTAGGCATTGTGGAAAATGCAGATTATTCTTTTTGTTTGAGGCAACATGATAAGGGATGCTAGGGTAAGCTAAATTATCTACAATAGTTCTAATTGCAACACCAAAATAACTATGCAACCAAATACATGATCAATTGTGGTATCTGTTAATTCCATATGCATCTTTTAAAGTTGTCAGACAACACAAGGGATTTTCCATTGTGGCACAATGGACAAATGAGTTCTTTAAAAATATCAGATAACTCTTCTACATTTACAACTCTATATCCAGGTAGTGGATTATTATAATCAGATTCAACTATATCAACTTATTGTATTTTGGAATATGATGTTGAGATAGTTACAGCAGTGTCAGAAGAGTAATTTTTATTTTCAACATTCACACAGTGTCAGTGTTTATCAAAATATCTACAATTAGAGGAGATTCTTTATTTATACTATCAACAAAAACTTCTTCTTCACAACTTAAAGACATTTTGACAACAAAAGGTCCGCGTCTTCTTCTTGCAACTTTGGTTTGAGCTTTTACTTTGCAATTTTTTGGCATCTCTTGCTTAATTAAATAACTTTTACATAAGTATGTTTTTGTCTCTTAATCTTGCTTGTTTTCGCTAAGCTGAACAAAAAGTACAACAGAATGTAGCATCCTAACCCAAATAATGCTTTTAAAAACGGCTTTGAGGAATATATTTACGACAGAAAAATAAAGCTTTCGATAAATCAAAACATGAAATAACCCTTAAAAACTAAAAATTTTGCAGTTTAAAATGATTTTCAAGAAAAAGAAAATACATAAATGAAATCAAAGGTAATTTTTATGTCTAAAAAAGCTCATACTAAATTTTTACATTTTTGATGTTTTTAGGGGGGGGGGGGGGGGGAGCTTCCTCCTTAACTCTAAGAATTAAAGACTTTCCCATTTCTTATTTATTTACAACTCCAAAGGAATATTAAAACTTTTGTACTCGCACTTTAGAAAACATACTTTAACTTTAAAACAAAAAAACAGGTTAAAGTGTGTTTTGAAGGAGGTTTGATAGTAAAACTATGCAGAAGTATACTGCAGGCAAAGTATTCATTTGATAATGTTGAGAAGATATCGAATCCATCCAGTCGGAATCACGTGACTATATTTCAAAATCAAAAGTAACCATATTGAATTGGGGGAAAACAAATTATTCTTTCTTAACGCAAAGTCAAGAAAACATTGTTTAACAATAACTTTATGTCCTACAATTACCTTGAAGGTAAATCAAAATAAATAGCGAATAGATGTCTGCAAAATAAGTCTTTAAGGTGATTTTTACTTTTTTTTTACATACATTTAGATCTCTGTTTAAATAAAATGACGCCTTACATTTATGTCTACATATTATTTTGGTTATTTTAGGGTATCAAAAGTACTGATATTTTGATATTTATTTACCACGACTAAATTAAGATGCAAATTAAAAGTAACCCACCAGTAATAAAGTGTTCCGAAAAAACATAAACATTACAAGATTTTAGGAAACCATTTCTTGCTACATGCACAACTATCTACAGCACGATTTATCGTATTCAACCACTTTCTTTTAAGTACTTCATCTTTAGGAAGACTTGAGTTTTTATTTTTTATTTTATTTTGTTAGTGCAACCTATTGCACCACAACTTTTTAGGATTTGAAAAAAAATAACTCAACAAAACGTAACGATTTTTTAGTTTGATGGTTAACTTTAAAACAATACTTTTAATGCGGAGTGACATCATATCGACTGGATGGATAAAAACAACTTATTTTTTTTCTTAATAAAGTTTTATTCACCTGATTTTTACACTGCAAAACCAGTGCGTTTAACTAAGTTTGTTGATTGACATGCACTTCTTCTTTTAAAACTTTTTAATTTTAATTTTTGTTTTAAATGCCCCAATAAGGCAAAATCAATTTTGTTTATGTTATTAGAAATTCTAAAAGTCCTCAAACATATCTTGCACTGTATTTCCATAATTTGCCATGTTACAAATGTTACAAATTAGCAACAACTTTTCATAAATTTTGTATAATAGATCCAAATTCAATAATCACTGTTGAGCTACAAATACAAAAAAGAGTCGTTAACCAACCAGTATTGAGCTGCTAATATATATAGTTGAGAAATTCAAGCCCATTTTTATTTCGATTTAACATTAATTATTTATGAACATAGGCTTAAAACTATTTTAATTATTATTTGCGAGCCCCCATACATGCAGGGATCTTAGTTTTAGCCTAAAAAGTCTTTAAATAAATCCGACACTAAAGAGGATACACAATTATTTTCTAATCATCAAAATGAAGTCAAACTTGCCAGATGACCTGAGAAAAAATGGTCAATGAATTGTCTAATTTTCGGTAAGAAACCATGGACACGTAAAATACAAGTTCAAGCAACGCAAACAAAAGCTAGAATATCAACTTTGATTGAAAAGATAAAGGCTTTTAGCCATCTTTAATTAGCAATAAAGAACGTGTTTACTTGGATAAAAAAGGAACGTTTTGTGATTTTGGAGCAAAGCAGGTAACTTTGCAAAAATGAGTTCTGAGAGATTTTTTTAAAAAGTTACGAAACAGTGAATGCTGATCGTCGTTTATTCGAATCATAAAAAGGCTGTATTTTGCTTTTGTAGTCGTTTTTTCTCCGATCTAAAACTCGGGTTCGCAAAAATATATAGAAAATAGATTTTGGAAAAACATGGAAACACAAAAACTAGTATAAAAAGAAACACATCACTGGAACAATGTTTTAAAAATAATCTATCATTTTTGGAATGAAAAAAAGAAAAATTTATATATACATAAATAAATATCCTTGCAAACATACGAAGATGAGCGACAAAGTTGATACCGGAAGTACTCCATTACCATGTGAAAAACAATTATTTACGTTAAATATAACAACCCCATCAGAAAGAAGAAAAAGAGGGATTAATATAATTTTCAAAATGCTATAAAAATATAAAAAAAATTGAATGGTAAGTTCTTCTTAAAAAAAAATATTAAAAATGGCTATTTTAAGGAGATCATCACACTGTTACTGATACCCATTTCAAAAATGATCTTCGTGAAAACTTTTTTAAAAACCGAGTGTTAAAATTATGGAAAAAACAGCCTACTTCAGTTGTTGAATCGCAGTCAGTTAATGAGTTTAAAGCAAAAATAGATAAGCTATGTTTTTCAAATTAATTATCGGCTTTAGTTAAGTAGTTTTGTAAAATCTTGTAAAACCTGTCATTGAGTCATAGGGTGGACTTGGCGTTGACCCTCAACATAAAAATATATTACTATTATTATTATAATTTACTATATTTTTTATGTATTTATGAATGTATCGGAATTTTATGAGGTTTTATGTATGTATCTGAATTTTATCAGGCATAAGACCTGATTGATCTTCTGCAATTATCTGTGTTCTTTTTTTTAATGCTTGTATATTTGTTTCATTTTTTTAATTATTTCTTGTTGCATAATAATTTTTTATTTTAAATATTTTATTATAAAACAATTTACTGAAATGTGTTTTATATAAATTTTTTCTTTTTTACATTAGTTATCAACTAGACAAGAAATCTCTGGTCTTATGACTGCGTGAACTCTACAAAAAAAGTGGAAATGACATTAATAGATTTAATTACATTTTGAATTAGGCTTAGCATACACTACTTTTTTCTTTGACTGGGGGCTTTGACCTCTTCGTCATCTCAGTTGCCAAGCTTTTGTTCATTCTTTCCACTTTTGATCGCTCTTGGTGTTTCTTTTTTTCTTTTATTTCCGCCAGAATCGATACAACTAGATCTGACGTCAAAATAGAGCTCTTACGCAACAGTGCGAGCTTTAGCTATAAATAGTATAGATTAGTACAATAATTACTTTTACATACTATGTGGTCCATATTATTCTATATATTTTTATTAAAGAAATACATTTTTATTACTATCCATTTTATTACTTATTACTATATAACTAAGATCAAACTAATGTAGGATCCATAATAAAATTAATGTAGAATCCATAGTAAAATTAATCTAGGATTCATAGTAAAATTAATGTAGGATCCATAGTAAAACTAATGTAGGATCCATAGTAAAGTAAAATTAAACAATATCTATGACTAACTAACAGCTTTTTTGGGCGAAGGAAAGCACCTATGGTTGATCGTTACAAGACTTATACTGGAACCAGAGGTAATTCTACAAATAAAATGAGGGGAGTGAACCCTTATAAAGTACTGACTGGTTCCTTAAAGAAAAAAAAAAGAAGTTCCTAAAGTTCACCCGACTGAATTGTGTCAAATACCCGACAAGCCGACTAAATTTGTCAAAATATCGACTATAACTTCAAAACCATTTTGTTTGGGGGAGGGGGTGCAACAACCCTCACCCCTAAAATTGTCTCTGATTAGAACTTATGTGTTTGAAAGCTACCACAGGCTAAGGAGATATCATTTTTGTTGTTAAATTATCAGAGGAAGAATTATGGAAAACATTTCCACTAGTGGAGGGGTGGCTTTTGGAAGAACTTGGATTTATGAAAGTGCTGGTTTGTGTCTGCTACTGTCTGTTTCTTTAAAACATAAAATCAAATATGTTAATTTGTACTAACAGTAGAAGGTTGTTTAAAACTCAACTAAGTACATGACTTATCTCAATCCTATATTGTGTTTACAAAATGTATTTATCACTTGCAGGTTTATGTATGGCCCAGTTGCCTGCGCTTCAATGAAACCTACTTGAAGAGATTGAAGAGTTTTTCATTTGGCTTAGTATGAGTTGTTTCATTCAAATATGATATTGGTTGAAAGATACTTGGGTTGAAGCTTGCAAAAAGCTTTGATATCTGGAGAAAAAGACTAGCAAACCTTTCTTTTGTAACATACAAATTTTATTTTGTTTTACAACCATCTGCCACATTTAACCATTACCTTACCACATAATTACTGGTTTTTTTAATATTTTTAGATGTCAACCATTGGTCAAGAGAGTTACAATTACTTGTGTAACAATACAACCGTTTTCAAAATTTCCAATGGCTGCCAGTGTAGGAGGTAAGGATGCATAAATATTCAATAAAATACAAACATTAGAATATATTGTAAGCGGTGGTGGAAATGATCTAACTGCACAAACATTAGCTGTACAGAAAATTAAAAAAAAAAAAGCGAAAGAATATTATCATGCTAAGCTAGCATGCTAACGAAGCAAAAATAAATGATTGGAAAGTATTTTGCAGTTTTATTTAAAATTGTAAAGTGTTTAATAAATAAAATTACAATGCAGAATTAGCTATGATTAATTTGCAAAGATTGTAATACTGTACAAATTTTTCATACCTAAAGCAGCAATTCTATCCTTGTCTTTTTAGAAGATGCTGTAAAAAACATTTTTTAAGCTTTTTGAGCTGCAAAGAATTAGTTAGGCTCATATAGAATGTCTAGGCAACCAGTTAGGCTCATATAGAATGTCTAGGCAACCATTTTCCGACAGTTAGCTACAAATATAAAAACAAATAATAAAGTTAGTAATCTAGCTTACTTTTAAAATTAATTAATACAAACTATATTTTAGACCTATATAACTATTAATTTGTATTTATTCACTCTTTAAGGTAATAATTTATTTAATTATTGTATCAATTAAGGTACTCTAGCTAATATTATTGAACCTGTCACTATAGGCTAAACGTAAAATACTATATAAACAAATACTAGTATAGTAACTTGTTATATATTGTATAAATATTGTAATTATTATATTTACTAACCACCGATCGCCAGGTTTTAAAGTACCATGAACCATTTAAAGCAAAAAACTCAGTGGAAAGGCTCCTATCGCCAAAAGGATGGGTCCTGCAACTTTTTTAGCTGAGGCTGAGGGGAACACGTGATGGTACAGGATCTGCCAAACTCATATCGCTTGTCTCTATTTACTAGCCTCTCATCTATTAAAAAACTGGACAGTCTTTTAATAGATGAGAGTAAAATATAGTCAAAAAGTTGCTGGCCCCATCTTTTTGGCAATAGGAGCCTTATCACTTAGATGGTTCTTGGTATACCAAGATAATTTGCAGCCTCCAGTTTGGTTCTGAGATCACTAAAAAATTGAATAAAAATAAAACAATAAAATACTATATATATATATATATATATATATATATATATATATATATATATATATATATATATATATATATATATATATATATATATATATATATATATATATATATATATATATATATATATATATATATATATTTATATTTAACGATAAATTAAATTGTTTTGAATTTATTTTGGTGACGATTATTAGCATGGGGTTTTTTTGCTTCCAGTGTTCGCCACCACCATTCCACGCCCACCTTTTCAAATTCATCCACTAATTTTATGTTTGTAAGGTATTGCTGCATTCTAGTATTCGCCTGAGAAAGAAAAAATCCAATTAGATTATAAATAATATGTTTTTGTATGATTATTCAAAGGTTTATTTTAAAATATGTCATTACGTTTTTAAGGATTTTTAGGCAGAGTTTATTTTTCAATAAATCCTGCGCCTCTTTTTTTAAAGCTACAATCGTCAGATATCGTCACAGATTTTGTAAGAAAACTTCAGAGTTTCTTGGAGTTTTAATCCAGCAATTAGTTTTTGCTCTGAATGTTTTTTAGTGAGTAAGTGGTGAATGCTAGATTGCATGGCGAACACTTGGTGTTTTAATGTATGCTTTTTGAAAAAATATTAATTTTAACATTAAAAAATTAATTAAAAAATCACATCAGAATTATAACTCATTTATAAAAATCTTGTATTTTAAAATTTTTTTGTTAATTCATAAATTAAAACTGTCAATAGTTCTATTATATTCTTACAAATATCTATCCTTTATTCAAATGATGCAGTAATAAAATAATATTTCAAGCCATGCAGAAATAATCTTACACCTGTGGTTATATTTTGTACTTCAAAACTATCATTTTTAACACCTGTTACCGCTATTACCAAGCCCTTTATTACATTTTTAACACCTGTTACCGTATTACCAAGCCCTTTATTACTTCCCTCTACGATAATATTGTAATTAATTAAACATTCCTGTGGTATTTATCACGGTAACCGTGATAAGAGTTAGAGCATCAAACAAAAAGTTAAAACCCGGACTGTTGAACGATACGAGTTCAAATCCTACCACCACCAACTAAGTATTTCGGTACGGAAAGATGTTGGTCAATAAGTACTTTGTAGATTTTTATTCAGGATGGTAGAACATAAGAAAGTAGTAGTTTCATCGTGTACACAACATTTGAAGTTGTGTATGAATAAAAAATTAATCTGACTTTTATTTCAAGTAATAATTTTAGAGCTGCCATTTTAATAACAATGCCATCTCAATAAGTTTAGACCTGCTAAGGCATCAGGACTTGAGTCATATTTTTTCGCCTTCCGAAATTCTTTAAGTTGTTATTAAATAAATCCCTTTCATTTTTCTTTTACAATTTTCCAACATATTCAAACGATTTATACGCCGTATACGTCTAACAAAGCTAGAAGTCAACTTCCAGTTGTTTAATTATTTTCTTACGTTTAGCATTTGTGTTTTGCTCAACATTTTTATAATTTCTATATTCAATAGGATTGGTGACGTACATGTCAACAAAAAATTCTGTTGGATTTTCCTGTATATGTTGTTTATTACCATTTCAAATAGGCTGTGCTCGCCGCTTGTAGACATATTATTTTTATTTATATTTGTTTAAGGAACAGTGTTTTCTTTAGTAAAATAGAAGTAAATTTTAGTAAAGTAGGATTTTTTTGTTTTTGGAAGAACATGTTGAATCATTATCTATATTATTAAGAATAGTATAAGCTTTTACAAATACAACAATATTATATTTGTTGTGGTTAACCTTTGAAGATTAGGAAAAAAAAAGTTAGCATTATAGATCTTCTTTGACATAATCATGATCCACAGAGCAACATGCAGTCATATTTGTAAAGTGAAAGTTAATCAAATAGTGATAAAAACTTTACATTTGATTTTGATTTGTAACAATTTAGATTTGCGTAATAAGATTCGAAAAAAATTTTTTACTACCCATAAGATTTAACACCCACAAACTTTTGTTACGTCAAAATCCTTTTTGTTGCTGCCCTAAACTGCCTTCTCTTTTATCTGTTTCTAATCATAGGTGGAGTTGTAGAAGAGTACAATGAATCGTCACTAATCGATGTAGCAGTTTAAGGTGGGATGCTCGTAGTATTTAAGAAAGTTAAGAATACAATTAGTAATACAAAACGTCTTTCTTTCTTGTTTTAAGTTGGGAAAGGGTACAGTTCAAGTTTATTTATTCTGCTATGCAACTCATGTAAAGTGCTACTTGTAGATAAGACATGTTCCGTTTGACATTTTATAAAATCATTTTTTTAATTCAAAGTAATATTTATTGAAAAAAATATTCATTTAAAAAAACATATCTTATTAATAAAAAGAGAGTTTATAAAAAATTTTGTTATAATAGTTTGATACCTTTATTCCCTATAAATATTTCACCGAAATCTCATGCCACCCCTTACGAAATTGCCAAATTGAGTACCGCTAAATTCATTATTTGTCTTGTTTATTCTGTACATAAAGTATTGTTATTATGTAGCATTTTAAACTCTTTTTAAGAAATACGAGAAAAGTTATTTTAATTCATGAAACAATCATGATTGTTTCATGATTTAAAACAACTTTTCTTGTATCTACTGGTATAGGCTACTGGTAGCCTATAAACGCGTTTTTTAACACAACGGGTATTGCTTGATTCCACCTAACCGAAAAGCGCTATTTTCTCAAGTAATTGGTTAAAGTGCTTTTTTACAATAGAAAATGCTAGAAAAAATCATATTGTTGTTTAAAATATTCAGACGAACAATTAATATAATACGCCTTTAGTTACAATCATTCATATAATCAGGCGAGCAAACATCAAGATATTTTTATAATCAGCTTGTGGCAGTTTGTGTTTTTTTAATGCTATTTAAAAAAATAATAACATACATATTTTTTTATTGTTTTTTATTATTCAATTTATCATAAATTCTAATATTTATTCTCATTCTAATATTAATATAAATATAAATTCTTTAATATTTATTTATCTTACATAAAATAATATTTATACTGTAAAATGTTTTATAACATTTTTAATAAAAGCATGTAAGTAAAAATTTGTGAGTATTACTCACCTTTCGATAAAAAAAATAATAATAATAAAAAAAGCGAAAACAATAAGTGCTTTACAAAAACCGCAGTACGATTAATTATCAAAATAATAACTCACAAAAAAAAACGTTTTAATTGCTATGGTGTTTTTAATTACTAATTTAAACTTAAGAAAATTACATATCAGAATAAAAGCAACAACTTGACTATTTTTTAAGTTGTATGATAGAAATCAACTTGAGTATGGTGAGCATTATTTAAACAATTTTTTAGTATTTTATTAACTTGGGTTAGTTAATAAACTTTTAATGTAACAATACTAACAAACCTTAAAAAATATTTACAATGTTTGAAATACAAAACCATAATGTTTTAGTGTTTTAATGTTGATAAAGTTTAAACAAACTTTATTACGCTGATTGTGTTATTTAGGACTTTATTAATTATTTCTGGAAAAAAAAATCTCAATACTTGGGAAAGAGTTTTAAGAGAATTCCGCTTTTACCTAATGAGTTTTTAAGAATTTGTGTTTTTAGGAATAATATTAAGGTGTTTTAAAAAATTAAATCAACGTGTTTTTTTAATTTTTATTTTAAATTTCAGTCTTTTTAAAATAATAATTATATAAATAAGAGATTAAAGTTTTCAACATAAAAAGTTATCTTTTTTATAAATACTGTTATCAACATCTAAATATGAAAGTATATATATATATATATATATATATATATATATATATATATATATATATATATATATATATATATATATATATATATATATATATATATATATATATATATATATATATATATATATATATATATATATATATATATATATATATATATATATATATATATATATATATATATATATATATATATATATATATATATCAGCGCTCGAAATAACAGCCGATCAACGATCAATGATCGGCTATTTTTAGGGAAATTTAGAAAAATTCAAGGGAAAATAAGCTGTTTTTGTCAAAAAATTACATTTGATCGGCAAGTTTTGAAAAACTATTTCGAGCGCTGATATATATATATTTATACATATATATATACCCCCCTTATGAATGATTTTTAGTCGGCAAAAACTGTAATGCCCCCCCCCCCACGTGACACCCCTGTATATATATATATATATATATATATATATATATATATATATATATATATATATATATATATATATATAAATATATATATATATATATATATATATATATATATATATATATATATATATATATATATATATATATATATATATATATATATATATATATATATATATATATATATATATATATATATATATATATATATATATATATATATATATATATATATATATATATACTATTTTACATACCTTTAGCTTTAAAGTTACACCATTGCAACTTACATAATACCAAAACTGAATTATATTCAATATCCAGTGACGGATCGAGCATTTTTGGGAGTTTGAGATCCAAACATTTGTATGTTTATACTTATGTCAAATGATGTTCAAAACTTATGACCAAAGTTTAAACCCCCAACAATTTGAGGTGGTTACAAATTTTATATAGTCATAATTTTTGAACGCTGAGAAACAATACAATGAAACTTAAAATTTATCAATAAATATAAATCTAGTCGAGAATAGTACAAGAAATATTTTATCAACTTGTTACCCTCACGTTTGGAGTAGGGAGGGGGGATGAAATATTATGGTTATTTTGTTCCCAGCCTCCAATCATCGCAACTTTTTTTTGCAAAGCATCATTATTTGACAAAAAATAGACATACAACAGGGGCGTGTACAGGAAATTTTTTGGGTAAGTCCAAAAAAAAAAAAAACTATGTCCCCCTCTGCCTCCCTATTTTTTAGAGAGGGGGAGGGGGTCCGGATTTTGTCCGGACTGAATGTATTTTATATGTTTTTATTCTTTAAATGACTTGTGACATTGATAAAATGGTCACTAAAGCTCAAAATATGATATTTGCAAACTAAAAAAACTATTTTTTGAAAATACTTAGTTGACGTAATGTATAATATAAACATATTAAAATTTTTTACAAGATTTGTAAAAACAATTTACAAGATTAATACAAGATTTTGCTGTGTAAATTTTTTTATATAACTTTATAAATAATATTTAATTATAAATAAACTTTATAAATACTTAAATTCAAAAAACTTATTGCAATAACTGTACAATGCTAAATGTTTTTACAAAGATGTCAGCTATGAAAACAGCTGTTTACCAAAAAGCAGCTCAAACATTTGAAGTTAAACTTTTATCGTATTTGAATTTATTTAAAACACAACTCATAAGTATTTATAACAAACTTAAAAAGGTTTGTTGCTTGTAATCTTTCAGTATTATTAGATTAAAGTTCATTTTTGAAATTCAGGCAGTTAAATGAAATTCATCTAAACTTCCCACAGATCAAATTTAAGTATAAAGCCTTTGGTTTGGAAATAATAAATAGCCTTTGGTTAAACAAAAGACACTAAAACATATGATTTGGTCTTCCCAACTAGTATAACAAAACATTGAATTTTTGCAATTGTTTTTAGAAGAAACTGAATATTAGAAAGATGCTAAAAATGCTATAATGAAACATTTGTTACACTCCCTCAAATTTACCATACATTAAAAGGAATTATGCATGAAAATATGGAAAAAGAGCTCGTAGATCTTAATCAAGATGTCATAACCACTAATCACAACATATATCATACCTTTTTTATAAACTTTTTTATTTGAGTTTATCAAATGCACATAGAACTTATAGGTAGTGATCAACCGAAACAGAAAAAACCCGATACCGAAATAAACCAAAATTTCAGGCTCTCAAATTTGGTCCCGAAACCGAAATTTCGGCGAATATTTTACCGAAACCGACATCGAAATTTCGGCTAGTTACAATTTGTTTTGTTAAAAAAATATATTTAAAAATCCAATTTTACATTTGTTGCTTTTTTATTGTGGCATTATGTTAAAATTAATTACACGTATATTCCAAATTGAGATTTAATGCATAAGTCGGCAATATATAAGTTAATAGCAAAATTTAACAACTGGCAGATTTTTTCTGCAAAACAAGTTTTTTTCGAAGTATTTTGTGAAAATTCTTAACTTTTTTGTGAAAATTCTCAAAATAGTTATTTTTAAAAATTTTTTTGTGAAAATTTTTAAAAATAACTGTTCTTCATGATCAGATAAATATTGGTTTTCGGTATGTTATTCAACGGAAGTTTCGGTTTTTACCGAATTTATAAAAAGTACCAAAACCAAAATTTCGGTATCAGTTCAAATTAAAATTTAGGCCAAAACCGATACCGAAACAGAATTTCGGTCGATCACTACTTATAGGAAATAAGTTATGAGCTACTTCACTACTTATAGGAAATACTTATAGGAAATACTTATCACTACTTATAGGAAATAAGTTATGAGTCCGCGATGCAAATTTGATAGGCACTTATTTTTTTCAAAAGATGCATACGCGTATTATTAACAAGTAAAATTGAGATCTTGAATAATTTGTTGTTCACAAGATTTTTGAGTTCTTTAAGCGCTTTTAAAATATTCACCATTAACGCCACTAACATACCAGTTTTAGTGCATTTACCACTATGGCATATATCACAAGTATATACGGTTGTTTTAGTTAAACAAATTTGTATGGCTTGCTGTTCATTCTTATATCCAATTTAATTAACTATTATATTTATTGTAATTAAGTGTTTACAAATTTAAAAAAAAATTTACCAAGTTGGTTCTGAGCCGGAGCTCTAATCATTGCGCTGCGGCTGCCTAAAATTTACTAGGCGAATTTTACCTTAAGAACACTTTATAGCAACCATTTACTATAATAACTCGTTTGCAAGATAACAATTTTTAAATCTAGGTTAATAACGAAATTCTAAGTAGACAAAGTTAAAATTCTAAGTAAGCAAAGTTTAAATTATCAAATCTTACAATTAAAAAGATTAAAAAAACAATAATAACAAAATAGCGCAAGTTTCTTGTGCTTCAAAAATTAATTGCTGCATGCTTTTAGTTTTATAATTAGATTAATAATTGAAAACACCTCGCAAAAACTGTTACTCTATTTTCACAAATTGTTCAGGATGAGAAGTTTATTTTAACAATTTTATTTTAAAATAGCTTCTAAAGTCCCATGCGAGGTTTCTTTAAGTTAGTTGTTACGAGTAATTTCAAATAAGTTATGAGTATTGACGAGTAAATAACTAGATTTTTGCAATTTCATCGACTATACAATTTTGCTTTATGAGATTAAATCACAAGATGGAAAATTAATTTCTCTACTATTTAAAGTTTTATAAATAATAACTTTTTATAAGTGCTTGGTTAACTCACGTTGACCTTTTGTAACAAGTGTATTAACCCCCTCCTTTTTTGCTCCTGACTATTATTCTAAAAAGAGTGGGTTAAACCATCTCAAGATTCCTTTGTAAGTAAAAAAAGGCAATAAGCTTTTATTTTAATGGAATTTAATTATTTGTACTGTTTTAACAATGATTTTCGTTTTTAGATTTAATGTTTGACAAAAAGATTAGCATCTCAGAAGTTTAATAATATAACAATGACGATTTGTTTAAAAATAACTTGTTATTATAACCACTGTCTCGTTAACCATTTGTCTCGTTGATTCCTTGACCAAAAAAACTAAAAAAAAACAGAAGAGAGGTAAAAGACTTAAATTTTTTTTTAAATTAGGAATTGAAAAATTAAGAATTAGAAAAGCAGATATTAAAAGCAGACCTTCACTTCATTCACATCTCAAATTGCAATTTTCACTACGCTTTTTTTTATATTCTCACTGAATTTTTAGCTCGACTATTATTGTCCATTTTGTTATATGAGGTATTTTTTTTAACATTTAATTGTCTTTGCTAGTACTTTTATTTTTTATTATTTTTGTAATAACCTCGTAAAATAATCTTCGACCTCTGTATTTTTAGTTGCTAAGATGCATAATGATACGTAGGTTTCAGATGACTAATCAGTTGGGTTTTAAAACTCTTGTTTTTTATTATTCAAAAAATCATGTTTTCCCACTTCTTCAAATGCGTAAGAGGAAATAATTGCGTAAGTCGATGCAAGCGGTACGATGAGAGGTATTGTGATGGAGTTTTGAGTAATAACACCAATACAACAAAAATCTGAAAATTACATACACAAAAACCTATTGCATATTTGAAATTCCAGTAGGCACCATTTAATCATTATCAAACTTGCTTAAAATACTTTATCTAATTGGCAATAGACTATGGGATTAGCATTTCAACAAAAATTTATAATAACAACTTTTCAACAAGTTAAAACTATTTTTTTAACATATTGACCTAAGTTTTATTTAGAACTTTATATAGACATTATATTTACCAATAAATTAAATACTATATTAGATTACATTACTATAGATTACATTACTATATTAGATTACATTAGTGTTTGATAAAGTGTAAAATGTCAAATGATTTAGTAATTTAAAGTAAATTTGTTTTGTATAAATTTTTGTGTAATTTATTTTTTAAAAGAATAAAAAAAGTTGAAGCCATGGTATCAGAAAACGAATTTATAGCGATAAAAGACGACATAATTTGTCCTGAAGATTTTGATAAAATAGATTTGAAATCTAATACACCGGAGGACGTTGTTGTCGATACACTTAATTGTGTTTCAAATGTCCGACTTGTTCAAAACAATAACGGATTATCTTTAACTTTAAAGAAAACAAGCATGGATATAACCAAAACTCGTCAGTATAAAGAAATCTATGCTGATAACTTGCGACAATACAGTTTTTTGCTTTCAAAGGTAACTTATTAATACATTGAAGCAATATTCTAAATAAATTTTTTTATTATAACTTTATTTTTGTCGTTTTTAAATAAACATTTTTTAATATTTATGGTACATAATTTAAATAGAATATAGATAAAAAAAATAAACCATATGTATGTATATATATAAACATGCTAGTGTGTTTATATATATACATATATAAACATACATGTATGTTTATATATATACATATATAAACATACAAGTATGTTTATATATATAAACATACAAGTATGTTTATATATATACATATATATATCTTTCTAAACCTTAACAGAACTTAACTATCTTTAACATTGAAACTTTAAAATTGTCTCGGTTTTTTTCTAATTTAAAAATTGTAATTTGTGTGTTTCTTTTTTTTTTTTTTTTTTGACTACTTTCAAAAAGTAAACACACAGAATTTTCAAAGTATAAAAAAAATACAAAGCAAACAGGTTGTACAAAAAAACTACATTATAAATATTGTGTTTATAAACATTTTTCACTACATCAAATTTCTAATAAAAATGTAGCTAACAATTACGAAATTTTTCCTCTTTAAAGTTCTAAAGAACCAAATGCGGCTTTAAATTTTTTTTTATTATTTTTATTTTTTTGCAACCAAAACAGTATTTAATAAAACGTATTTTACGAGTATGTAATAAAATACGCGAAAATAATGTATCAATCATCAAAAGCATATACCAATAAAGTTTCGAATGCGCTTGCATTCAAAACAAGAACTTTTTTGATTGCATTTTTTACCCTTTTCAATATAATATATGCGCATCATGTGCATCAAAATGCGCATCATATGCATATTATGCGCATAATTATGCGCATAGCATTTGAATTGTATGCGCATATATTCGCCGATATGCGAATAAGTTACGAACCCTATCAAGTATTAAATATTATATAATACTTAATAGGATTCGGAACTAATGCGCATATCGGCGAATATATGCGCATACCATTCAAATGTAATGCGCATAAAATACATATAATGCACATACAAATTTAACAGATGAATAGTTCATGAATTTAATTAAATATTATCAAATATAGAAGAAAATATTTTTTTAAATCAAACGCAGGTGACTTTAAATTAAAATAAATATTTTATATTAAAAGTAAATATTTCAAATTTTTAAACGAGTTTCTATATCACAAAACTTAAAAAAAAATTTTTTTTGTATGACACTTGCTCATTTATAATTTCTTCACACTCAAACTCGCTGAGAACTGCTCCTTCCTCTAAAATGTAGTCATTTTTGTCGTTTGTATCCATCAAATCACTATTAGTATATATGAAAAATAATTTTTTTACGCGTTCGTTTGTCAAGCGATTTCTTAATCGTGAATGAATAAACCGAAAAATCGACCATGTTTTCTCTGCTCTTGCTGACAAACAAATCATTTTGAGCAATAGATTTTGCAACTTCAAAGACTGCTGGATATTTCTGACGACCAACAATGTTCCAATAATTCTTTGCGCTCATTTTGAAAATTGTCTCTTTTCTTTTTTCTGTCAGTGTTGTCATTTCTACAACAAATTCAATCATTTCACTTTCAATTGTCATACCAACTGTTGGATTTGTTTTGGAGGCTAATTCTGCTTAAACTGATTATATCAGTCTTATCCTCGCCAAAATAGAATTCTTCTGCAGCATACTTCGGTGTCAGCATATAGACAATTTTTATATTTGAGGGGATAATGAATTTTAAGCGCTTCATAACCATTTCCTGAATAATTTCCTTATTTGCGAATTTCTAGTGTATTTCACCAAAATATTAGTACACCAAAGAAAATTAAGTATTATCATTTTCCAGTCTTCCAGTGATGTAAGAAGGATATTCGGTATCAATCACGAGTTTTGTCAAACAAGCATTCGATTTAATTAGCGTCAAAACAGTGTTCGAATTTGTTTTTGGAGCAATTTCTTTCAAAGATGCATTTTTCTCATCCGCAAGTTGAATTAAAATATATTTTGTTATACAAAGGTTGTTCATTGAATTAAATTGACTGAGCCATCGAGTCGAAATAGGCATTGTGAGTGAGCGATGAATATTAGCTGCGATTCTCTCTTCATCAAACTTTTCTTTAACAATGTGATAATTTTTTACAAACTTGATAATTTTGAACTTGGTCTTTTTCAGCAGTACTCAAAATGTCCTTAACGAGAAGATTCATACTGTGTGCTGCACAGCGATAGGTCGAGATGTGTGGAAATTTTTCTTCAATTAATTTCTACGCAGCTTTCATTACTGGAGCGTTGTCAGTGATAAAGCTTCTAAACTTTTGTGGGCCGAGAGTCTTGATTACTTCAATGATAGCAGCAGCAACAGGTGCTACGTTTTGAATTAGACCTAATATTTGATTGAATTATAGAAAAACGGTTTTGTATTTGGTGCCTTGATACAAAAATAATCGCCACCAATATTTGTCTTACCATCACTGATAAGCGTTAAATTTTCAGATGATTTGAAAATTTCTTTCTATTTAGCGGAGCATTCTATGAAGTTTTTATCAAGAAACGAACTTGACAGCGTTTTCGCGCTTGGTACTGATAATACATACTATGGATTAGGTGCTTTGATCAAATCCTTAAAAGCTTCAGATTCAACGAGACGAAGAGACATTCCAGTTTTGAAAAAGAAATTTGCTAATTTCAAACCGATTTCTTTTTTTGATTCTTCAGGCTCTATCATTCTTTTATTATTAAAAGGCTAAAAAGGAGACATCTATATAGTCGTGTCGTATTTGAAGTTGATGATTCGGCTTTTCGTTTTGCAAACAATCGTTTCTTGTCTTTACTAGCATTTGGACATTGTTTTCGTTTATGTGATGCGACGCAATCTTTTGCTAATTGAACTGTCTTTTGGCAGGCAATCCAAGTTCCAGTTCTCTTTACTGTATCGAGATGTATTTATTGTAAAGTTTTCCATTGTCTTTTTGTTTTATGAAAAACGTCTAATTAAACCTTAAATTTTTAAGTTTTTTATTGTCTTACTTACTTGTCTCTTTAATTAAAGCATTTTTATAATTAATAACTTTAGGTTATTAATTGTAATAGTGCGTTAATTAATGAGATTTAAAAGTGGAATTAAAAGTTGTTAACCTTTAATTCCACTATTAAAACTGATTTTTTTGTTTTGTTTTAAAAGCACCTTAATTGAAGTTTTCAATAAATGTTCAAAATTCGTTTTTTTTGTCTTTCTAGTCAAAACAAGTTTACGGTTTTTAATGATTTTAATTTGAAAAAAAGTTATGCGCATAATTATGCGAATGTAAGCGCACAATTTATCGGCGAATATCTGCGCGTACAAATTTTTTCGAAGCCTAATATTTGAGGTTATAATTAATGAAACTATCAATTTAATAGAGTAATATAAACATTATGTTTTTAAAAACTTTTTTTGTATAGCTGTAAAGCGTTTAAAAAATGAGTGAGTTTAAGACTTAACATCATTGTCTTTGTTGAGCGCCATAACGTAGTTTAATAAAATTTGATATCTTATTTAGAACCATGTTTGTTTTTTTCAAAAATTGATTTCCCTTAACCTGTGGATTAATGTCGAATTTTTGAAGGTACTTTTTTCCAGTTCTTAAATCGTGGGTGTGTGCCTCTAACTAAACGTATGCTTTATTAAAGGTTATTTACAAAACATTGGTTCAAATACGTCATAGGTTAGACAAATTATTAAACTACGTAAGTTGTCTGATAATATATTTAAATTTAGACAGTTAGCTAGAATATCAGTTTGCAACATTTATAAAAAAAAAAAAAGTTTATAAAACAGGAGATATCTGTTTTTATTCTATTGATATATAAAAAGATGTCCTTTGGAAAAGAATAGTTCATTAATATAATCAAAAATACAGGATTGATTTGCCCCCCCCCCTCTCTGTGTCCGGCCCTATTTATGACTCAAAATGTAAGCTACTAAAAAGATATACAGTCTTGTGTATTAAAATTAGAGGTGTCCATTAATATATTTTAATGGTAGTCAAACAATAAATTTTGACTAAAATTTTGCTCGGGATGAATGTAAAAATGCAAGTCCAAAATACTTACGAAGTAGTTCCTTACGGTAGAAGCATTCCGGAATGTGCATTTACGAAAAAGACGCAAAAGATTTTATGTTACGATATATCTAAGATATTAACTGTTAACAGTTTAAATAATAAAATTATAAAAAAATGTTGTTAAATGATTCTTTAAGTGTTTATACAAATATATCTAATATATATATATATATATATATATATATATATATATATATATATATATATATATATATATATATATATATATATATATATATATATATATATATATATATATATATGTATATATATATATATATATATATATATATATATATATATATATATATATATATATATATATATATATATATATATATATATATATATATATATATATATATATATATATATATATATATATATATATATATAGGGAAAAAGCGCCTATGATGGCATACTTTACTTTAAAGCTTCATTATTCAGTATCCTGAAGAGCAAGAACAAAAGTTTTGATATGGATACGTTTTTTGTTACATGTAGAACAATAATAACCCCAGGAGTTTTCATCAGCTTTATTTTTTTTCGGTTATTTTTATTTAAAAAAAAGCACAAGTATGCCATCATTGGCAACTACTGCTTCTATGATGGCATAGGGAAGGATGGGGCTGGTTAACATCAAGGGCAACTCGATGATTTCATTTGACCTTAGAGTCTTGTCTCAGAAATGTCATAAATTACGCGTAATCATCCTAATTGACCCTTTCGTGCTGCACAGCAGCAGTGTAAGATTTCGCGCATGCGCATAAAAGATATTGTGTTTTATGTGTTTTTTAAACCAAAAATTTTTTACTGAAGTAAAAATTCCTTTTTATTTCAATAACAAATATGTTGTTTCTATGAAAAAAAAAAAAGGTTTTCTCAATTCGTCAATATTGCA